GCAATGCCCCCCGCCGCCAACCGCCTCCCCCCCCAGCACCGACCCCTCCACGTCGAAGCGTTTCGGGGAGTCCTGCAGCGGCTGGGGGTGCAGGTTGCCGTACGCCACGATGGTGCAGTCGTCCGAGAGGATCAGGCGGTGGTGGGCTGTGCCGGGGTCCAGCGTCAACGCTGCCGGCACTGCGGGGGGGGGACACAGGGACAAGAGAGGACAAGAGTCAGCACAGTGCCCAGAACCAGGGCAGGTGACTCTGTCCCAGCGGTTTGCAAAGCGCCTTGGGGTGGAGGCCACCGGAGTGCTCAGCCTTCGCCGGCATGTCCCCACCCCTCACTGGTGATGTCCCCATCCTTCTCCAACATGTCCCCATCCCTCACTGGTGATGTCCCCATCCTTCTCCAGCACGTCCCCATCCCTCACTGGTGATGTCCCCATCCTTCTCCAGCACGTCCCCATCCCTCGCTGGTGATGTCCCCATCCTTCTCCAGTATGTCCCCATCCCTTGCCAGTGATGTCCCCATCCTCATCCCTCTCCAATACATCCCCAGCCCTCACTGGTGATGTCCCCATCCTTCTCCAGCACGTCCCCATCCCTCGCTGATGATGTCCCCATCCTTCTCCAGTATGTCCCCATCCCTTGCCAGTGATGTCCCCATCCTCATCCCTCTCCAATACATCCCCAGCCCTCACCGGTGATGTCTCCATCCCTTGATGATGTTGTCCCCAACCCTGCTGGTGATGTCCCCATCCCTTGTCTGTGACATCCCCATTCCTCACCAGTGATGTCCCTCTCCCCATCCCTCTCCAATACATCCCCAACCCTCACCAGTGATGTCCCCATCCCTTGACGATGATGTCCCCAACCCTGCTGGTGATGTCCTCATCCCTCTCCAGTACGTCCCCAACCCTCACTGGTGATGTCCCCATCCCTTGACGATGTTGTCCCCAACCCTGCTGGTGATGTCTCCATCCCTCTCTAGCATGTCCCCATCCCTTGTCTGTGACATCCTCATCCCTCACCGGTGATGTCCCCGTCCCCATCCCTCTCTGGTGGGTCCCCATCCCTCACCAGTGATGTCCCCATCCTCATCCCTCTCCAATACGTCCCCAACCCTCACCGGTGATGTCCCCATCCCTTGACGACTATGTCCCCACCCCTGCTGGTGGTGTCCCCATCCCTCTCCAGCATGTCCCCATCCCTCACCGGCATGTCCCCGTCCCCACCCCTCTCTGGTGGGTCCCCATCCCTGGCCGCTGATCCCTTGCTGGCATGTCCCCATTCCCACCCCTCCGTAGCACATCCCCACCCCTCACCGGTGATGCCCCCATCCCTCGCTGGTGACGTCCCCACCCCTCCCAGGACCGCGCGGTCCCTTGGCCGCTCACCAGGGTGGATGTCCTGGAATAGGGATTTCCAGATGGTGAACTGCAGCGGGCCCATGTACTTGGAGGTGGGGAAATCCTCGTACGTCAGGTTGGTCTCGTGGATCTTCCCCTTCAGCCTGCCAACGAGACACCGTGGAGACGGGGGACAACCCAGGGGACCGCGGCGTCACCCCGCCGTCACCCACCTCTCGGAAAGGGACGCGACGCCGGCTAGGAAGACGTGTTTGTCAGCCTCGGCCAGGCGCTCCTGCAGGATCTGGGCGCCCTCCTGCACCTTGCGCAGCTGCTGGCTGTAGCGCTGGATCTTCTGCTCGATGTCGGTCAGCGTCCGCGCCGTGTCCGCCTCCAGCTCCTCCAGCATCGCCTTCTGCCGCTCCCGCAGCAGCCGGTGCAGCCGCTCGAACGCCTCGCCCATGGGCACCCTTTGCAGCCGCTCGAACGCCTCGCCAATGGTCACCCGCAGGCTCTTGGCTGAGGACTTTTTTGGGGTGAAGGTGGGGGGTTAGGATCCCCCAAACCTGCCCTGAGCCCTCCAGGAAGCCGTAATTCCCAAAATAAACCCCGACAGCCCCGTTGACCGAAATGATTCTGGATGCTCCAAGCACCCAAGGTGGATATTTGACCCCACACCCCCAGAAAAAAGCTAAAATTATCTGTTGCTGGCAGGGGTGGAGAGAAAATCAAACCTCGACTAAAGCTGAACCCCTGAGCAGGGAGAAAGAGATAAATATAAAATAAAAATTAATGAAAAACAAAAGAAAAAAGAGGAGGAAAAAGAAAAAAGAAAAAAGAGGAGGAAAAAGAAAAAAGAAAAAAGAGGAGGAAAAAGAAAAAAGAAAAAAGAGGAGGAAAAAGAAAAAAGAAAAAAGAGGAGGAAAAAGAAAAAAGAAAAAAGAGGAGGAAAAAGAAAAAAGAAAAAAGAGGAGGAAAAAGAAAAAAGAAAAAAGAGGAGGAAAAAGAAAAAGAGGAGCCAGCGGGTTTTGGGGCACCAGGGAAGGGAAAAATGGGGCAGATCCAGGAAACTGTGGGGTCTGGGGTCTTTGGAGGTGCCCAAACGTGAGCGGCGAGGCGTGGGGAT